AGTTATTTATGAGTTGAACAGAGCCAAGGTAAGTGTTCTCTTGTACTCTTTTCAAGCTTAAGTTGTGGTTTAGCTTTCCAGCTCGCATACTCGTACATTCCATGTACTGATGCCAGTTGGCCTGCATCGTTTTATGATGCAGACGCAGGTACCCAGGATCAGCATTCAGCACGCCGTTGATCCAGTTGAGCACTCCAGAGTCAGTGGTGAGCCTCCTTGCTTTCCGAAGGAGTCGATTTTTTTGTTCTCTTAGTTTTGTTTTAATTAGGATGTTGCGGGGTCTGTCCCAACATCCATCTCAGTATTGTAGAGGCTTCATGGACAACCAGTCAGTCAGTCAGTTAGTTTTGAGTCTCTTATCTATGTATATATGTAAATATTCTATTTTGAGACTCGAGTTGCCTTTTCGGCCAGATTTTATTAGTTGGTTGTGTTATAACCTTTCATTGCTTTGAGTTATGCTGTTGAGTTAAGTTTCTGCTGAGTTAAGAAAGTTAGGCCAAGGGTTCGCTTGGGGCCAGCAATGGTCTCCGAGTGCCGGTCCCACCCAGGGTGTAGGCTCGGGGAGTGACATTAAACTTTACTCAAAATGTCTCTTTAAACTTTCCTCAAAAACTCCTTTTATCTTATGAGAAAATCAATTTAAGATAATTATTCAATTAAAAAGATTCTCATCAACAACTCAGTGAATACTTCAAATATTAGGGTTCATGCTGAAAAATAGGCATGAATAATCAACTCAAGAATCTCAATACATAATATATAGCAACTCAAAATTTAGGAATAACAACTTTGAATTCAACAACGAACTCATCTCAAGAATTATCAAAACTAAGGATATAACCCTAGATTATTCTTTACCAATAGAAAGTAGATGTAGGGCGTGAGGACAAACTCAGTCCATCATCATGATAGCCTTACATACCTGGGAAGAACAAAGTTCTTGGCGAAATCAATGAAATTCGAAGAACAATAGAAAACCCTAGCTTTTCTCCTCTTAAATCCTTGCTCTAAGTCTTTGAAGTGTTAAAGAACATAAAATAATGTTTTAACACTATTTAGACCTTAATTAGGTGAAAAACATTATGGTTTATTCTTAGAGAGAGTGGGAAAAGACTGAACTATCCCTCTTTAAAAGCTGTCAAAAGTTGTCCACAAGACCATCTATGGGTCGTGGTTTGACCCATGAACCGTAGATCCCATCCGTGGATTATTGAGTTTTTAAGGCTTAAAAGTCTATTTACGGGTCCAAACGACCGCCCGTAGCTCAACCTATGGCCCTTCGGTTGGATTCGTAGGATTTGGGTCCCAAAAGTTGACCCCCAGTACTCTACCGACGGCCCGACAAGACGGGTCGTCGTTCAACCTGTTGACACCCAATTTGGACCATCCCGATAATAATTGATTTTTGAGCTTCTTAAATTTCCAAACGATTCGGAATAATTAGTTTATAAAATACAAATATTTTTCAAGAGTTAAAGTGATTTAGTTACGTTTATAATATTTAGATAATAAATGGTTTTTTAGTCACGACAACAAAGTTCCAGCTCCAACATTCACAGACGAAGCAAGAAAAATACACGGCATCTTGGCAGTGTCAAGGTCAAGAACCAAACGCGGAAACGGTAGCAACCAAACGATAACAACTCACAACGATTCCAAACGGAGCAACTCACGATTCCAACAGCGAGTACACGGAGACAGATGGAAAGCAACAACAACAGGCAGTACTGTCACACCCTGAGCCTACACCTTGGACGTAGCCGGCACTCGAAGACCATTGCTGGCCCCCAAGCAAACCCTTGGTCTGGCTTACTTAACTCAACGGAAACCTAACTCAACAGAATAACTTCATGCAATGAAAGGTCATAAGACATCCTAACTGATAAAAAAACTGGCCAAAAGGGCAACTCGAGTCTCAAAATAGAATATTTACATATATACATAGATGAGAGACTCAAAACTAACTGACTGACTGTCTATGAAGCCTTTATAACACTGAGATGGATGTTGGGACAGACCCCACAACATCCTAATAAAGCAAAACTAAGAGAACAAAATAACCGAGTCCTACGGAATGCAAAGAGGCTTACCACTGACTCTAGAGTGCTCAACTGGATCAACGGCGTGTTGGATGCTGATCCTGGGTACCTGCGTCTGCATCATAATAAGATGCAGGCCAACTGGCATCAGTACATGGAATGTACGAGTATGCGAGCTGGACCGCTAAACAACAACTTAAGCTTGAAAGGGATACAAAAATAAAACTTACCTTGGCTCTGTTCAACTCATGAATAACTGAACTCAATATAAAAGCAATAAGACACATGCAATATATAAAGCTTGTAAAACTATTTAAAACATGACGTAAAAATCATATTTATAATATCATGAAAATACCATGCTTCCTCTCAAAGTCTACTTGTGCAATGCATGAATGAAGTCCCATACCCCTATCCATACTAAGCAGAACCCCTCGAGGAACCATGCAATTTCTACTGTGGGAGTTCTCTAACCGACAACCACCACTACATGCTTAAGTAGTGATACAACGTTTTACCTCACGTTGCTCAAGGACCATCATATACCTTGCCGTGATATAGAACCTTACTTTAACTTTAACTTAGTGGATCCACTAACTTAACTTTACATGATCATCTTAAAAGTATGACCCGTCAAATCCCATGTTTGGCTACATGGTTCTAATGGAGAGTTGAGTTAATATGAACTCGTGTCCCCAATTCGATGCTCAAGAC